TAAAAAACATTAATCAAATCCTAATACTCAAATATAACCATCTATATTGAAATCAATGAGAATAAAAATAGCTCAAGTATAAACATACCTGTATCCATAGTAATTTGATTCTTTACTTGGATGGGTTAGGATCTTCCAATTGATTGGTGGTCTCCACTTCAATTTTGTTCTCTATTGATGGGGAAGTAGAGAATCTCAAAACACACCAACAATTGGGGACAATCACCATATAAAATAAAAGTAGTAACTGAATAGTCACTATCTTTCAGTTATTTCAAATTGACCCATCATCAATTCAAAACAACACTCCGATCTCTTCACTATATTTTCATGAAACCTAATACCCATTAGTCACAAAACATCTTTAACAGATCACTTTAATTGACTAATATCCTATAAATAATAGCACCACACATTTTAATATACAACGTGACCCCATATACGTTAGAATTTTCCAACATGGCCATCTTAAAAGACAATGAACAACCATCTAGAGTGAAAACTCAGATATGAGGTGGCACACACGTAACATGTGTCGTCACTTTGTCCTGCATGGCAGTTGGATGTATGCATGGCTGGTATTGTATGATTAAAGGACACTATACTTCATGGTTTAATTTGGGCCATCAGATCATGAAATTGTGCGATCAATGGCTTAGACGAATCAGACCGAGTGGTTCACCAATTCATGAAGTGTCACACAACCATTCAATGAGACACTTCAATCTCTATAAATAGAAACCTCCGAAATCGTTTTTAAACACATAAAAAAAACAATTAAATAATATTGACTCTAAATTCATTCTCTCTCCATATTCTGCAAAAATTCCTTCAAATATATTCGTGATTATCCTGTTCGAGTACGATCATTCTTTGGTTCGACCGACAATGTTGGTATTGTGCAATATCGACTTTGGAAGGAGCATTGTATCTTGGGAGACAAACATCTATAATCCCGTTTGCACTTTATTGAGGGGCAAAATCTGTCTTAAGAAGATTTGCTTTGGCATACATCGCTTCATCTACTGCATTTCAGTTTCTGTTCTTTTTATTTTTTCTTTTGATTGTGATAGTCGAATATCTGACAACAAAGACATATTTTTTTCCTTTCTTCTATATTTCTATTGATTATTTGCTGTAATTGTAGTTTTACAGAAAATGGCTAGTACTATTGAAAATAATACTAGTGCGGTGATTGCGCCAAATTCTAGTTCCAATCAATTTGTCATGTCGCTGACTTCACAACATGATAAATCGAAAAAATTCAATGGCATAGATTTTAAGCATTGGCAACAGAAGATACTGTTCTATTTGACAACGTTGAACTTAGTAAAGTTTCTGCGTGAAAAATGTCCCGCACAAATATCGGAGAATACTACTGATAAAATTACTCAGTTAGCCAGTGATGCATTGAAACATGCAGATTTCTTATGCCGTAACTACATTTTCAATGGATTGGATAACACCTTATATGGTGTGTATTGTGACTACAAGACGGTTAAGGAACTGTGGGAGTCTTTTGACAAAAAATACAAGACAGAAGATGCTGGAACGAATAAATTCATTGTCGGCAAATTTTTGGATTTCAAGATGACTGATTCAAAGACACTAATGAGTCCGGTTTTAAGAGATGCAAGTTCTACTTTATGGTATCGAAGCTGAATGTATGACTTTGAGTGAATCTTTTCAGAATACTGCAATGATCGAGAAAATACCTCCACTATGGAAAGATTTCAAAAACTATCTCAAACATAAACTCAAAGAGATGACGATGGAGGATCTAATTGTTCGACTTCACATTGAAGAAGACAACTGGACTCAGAAGAATAATGTGCACAACATGGAAGCAAAGACTAACATGGTGAAAGACTCGGGGTCTAAGAATAAGAAAAGGAAGCGTTCTGGCTCATCCATGGACAAAGAAAAAATCAACAATGCAAAACAGTTAAAAGGAAATTGTTATATTTACAGGAAGCCGGGACATTGGGATAAAGACTGTCGAAGCAAAAAGAAGAATATACCGAAAAAGAAACCGCCCTAAGCCAATATAACCGAAGTGGATAATATTTCTACAGATGTTGCAGACATCAACCTGTCTGCTGTTGTTTCTGAAGTTAACTAGGCATCTAATGCTAAAGATTGATGGTTGGACACAGGAGCCACTCGTCGCATCTGTGCGGATAAGGTTCTATTCTCTGAATATAAGACTCTGAATCATAATGAGTGTTTTATATGGGCAATTCTACAATTTCTAAAATTGAAGGGATTAGAAATGTTATTCTGAAATTCACATTGGGGAAAGAACGACGTAGAATGAAGTTATACATGTCCCAAATATCAGAAAGAATTTGATTTCAGGAGCTATTCTTAGTAAGAAATGATTTAAAATGATATTTGAATCTGATATGTTTGTACTTACTAAGGAAGGCATGTATGTTGGGAATTGTTATTTACTTGATGGTCTATTTAAGACCAATGTTGTTATAGTTGACAAAAAATCCACATATTTGTACCCGCAAGTTATTAATAAAACT